AGCTCAGGAAAAAAAAGCACCGAAATAAAGCACCGAAATGTGCGCTGCTTTTCGGTCTGGTTACTACCGTTTATGTCAGAACCGGTGCCATCATGGCACCGGACACCGGTACCCATCCCTACCAGTAGATCACCAGTTTCCAAAATACTCATACAATACTCTGACACATTCAAAGTCACTTAGATCGGATTTTTCTCCATTCTAATGCTTAGTTAATACTTTCTACTGTAATTCAAACCATGTTCTTCCTTCCTAAATATACTGAATTGCTGCCATGTAACTGGGTGATTAGATATTTGCATAAAGAAGCGGTTTAGACAGCTGTACCTGTTATTTTCATTTTAACTGTAATTCTACACACTTCCATCCAGCCGTCTTCCCTCCTCCTGATCTGCATTTCTTCTTTGCATACAGAAAATGTCTCATAGTAGCACTCAAGGACATCCTACACGAGCAAGCATAATGTGCCAGGAAAACACACACACACACACACACACGTATGTGGAAGAGTGGGTTTGTGCATGTCTAGCATATATACTTTCCTTGCGGACCATATGGAACAGTGCCTGAAGGAAGGTTGGGGACAAACTTAAGGAGAGATGACAGTGAACAGATGCTAGGCCTCACATGCAGACTTATAAGTCCACAGAGAAAAACAAGCACATTCACAAACACACAGCATGCATACACAAACTCTGCACACGTTGTAGCATTCTTTGACTGGTAATGAGGTGAGAGTGGGAGGTTGGCCAGTGTGCCTCCCACTGCCTTATGTTAGGAGAGTTAACCGAATTAGTACTAAAAAGACAGATAATCCAAAAGCACACAAAAAGAAAAGACAATCTGTACATATACTTCGTTTATTAACATTAAGAATCATTACCATGGAAGAATGATGTGAGGATATATTTTAGCAGATTAGGAATTCTGTATAGATCACCTGGGAGACCAAGTGATAGAACCAAGCACTAACAGAGGGTCAATGCCAACATTTTAAACAACCCTAGAACCACCAGGATGTGTCATTTTGACTCTATCCTGCAAAAACTAACAATAGTTACAAAGTTAAGACATTAGATTGAACATTGAAAAAAAATTACAACTTATTTTGGGGAATTGGTTGAGTTACAGTAGCTATGCTAAAACAGATCACTCACTGTGAAACAAAACAGGATATTGTCTACATTTTTTATTTGCCTACAGCTGGATACAATGCCATAAGAAATGCTTTAATCAATTAATTATTGTAAAAGTAGAACACTGAAAGTTTATCACCTTGTCCACATGCCTCAGTGTCATCAAACCAAGCCTCAGTCTGCTCCACTTGGCTTAAAAGCAATAAGATTGAGCTGCTCTGCCTGGGATTTCACTTTTTATTTCTTCAGATTAGTTCTCTGCACTTTGGACTCTCAGCTCATTTCAGCTCAGTTCATAGCAGTGAGGGAAATGTAGCTGTTTAAGCTAGTACAAGTACCTGACCCAAAGTAGCATTTTCCCTTACTTTGATCCAAGCATAGACTGAAACTACAGATGTAAATACCAATACCTCCTTTTATATAAATTAAGTCAATGAATATGAATAGGTCAGAGGTGTGGACTCGAGTCACATGACTTGGACTCGAGTCAGACTCGAGTCA